GTAGCCCTTCATCCCAGCATGCTACAGGCCCAATATAAGTACCCTGGGCCTTTTGGTTATTGAGAAGAAGTTGTTTGAAGATTTTAAGACAACTGACCCCAGTGACCTTGAAAGTTGGTCAAGGTCATTTATTTGAACAAACTTGGTAGCCCTTCATCCCAGCATGCTACAGGCCCAATATAAGTACCCTTGGCCTATTGGTTATTGAGAAGAAGTTGTTTGAAGATTTTAAGACATCTGACCCCAGTGACCTTGAAAGTGGGTCAAGGTCATTCATTTGAACAAACTTGGTAGCCCTTGATTCCAGCATGCTACAGGCCTAATATCAGTACCCTAGGCCTTTCGGTTATTGAGAAGAAGTTGTTTAAAGTAAAAAATCTGTACTTTCCCATAGATAATTTCACCATTCACATTTACTACCTATATATACTATCTGCTGTGCATGAATATTTGCTGTAATGGTAAATTCACCCTCAGTGAAGAGGGCAAAAAAGGTGAATAAAAAATGTGGGTGAATATATTTCCTGATATACAGCAACACATGTTCTAAAAGCATTGTCATTAATATATATATAAATTTATTAAAATGAAAACAGAAAATTAACAATAATGTCAGAAGTTAAATAATTTCCATGGCTTTAAGTTTTACCACATAATTAAATATACTTAGTTAGTCAGAATATTTTAACTTGATATGAGGGAAAGGGGATCAAATATTTAGAGATGCAATGCCTCATTTAAATATCGACCCTTGTATGATGAAGTAATATAATAAATTAGTACCAGCATTCCGTTCATCCACCTCCTGGCCACAATGGAATCAAGACCACACACAATGATATGGAACTCTGAAATATATCAACAATATGACAGAAGAATTACAATTAACTATACACAGAATAAAATTCAGACAGAATAATAATTGACATAACCATGTCATCTTCTATTTCAAAAGTATCATATTAACTCATTCACCCTGAAATTTCATATAAATGAACTACTCCAACCTTTGAATTGGTAGAGTTCAAATGTTTTTTCAGGGGTGAACAAGTTAATGAAGAGTAAAATCGAATAAAAGAATCAAAGAGACAACACACTTGTTGATTCTTGAGGAGTGTGTAGAACTGTAGATTACTAGTCAGTAAACCTTTTGAGTATAGACAACATTACCAAGGAATACTTAAGTATTTCAATAGTTCATTTTATGGTAATTGAAATGAAAACAAACTCTCACCTTAAATGAAACAAGTTACGAATGTTTCTGACATATGTACTTGACAAGTGACAGAATGTGATGGAGCTTCAACACTTATTTACTTACTTCTATAAAACGATTCATCAAAATCCTGTATTTTGCAGTTATGACTGGAAATAGTTAAGGAATCGTAATTTTCAAGTTAGCAACAATTATCAGTCATTAATGTACCCTCATGATTCCTTACACTAATCGGGAGTGAGCTAAAAACCAGTTACATATTGATTATAACAATGTATTATACTGAATTCTTATGTTCTTGTGGTTTAAACATATTGGTTATAACAATATTTGCAGACTTAGTATGGTAATAAAGATATAGTTATGAATCCATTTTTATTAAGGATACGGCTCAACTTTACATCCTGGGACCCGGTTGTTGATAAACTCTGCAGCTACCTCTGCCTTTGATCGTCCAACATCTTTTCTCCTGAAATATCAAGAATTTTATTTAATATCAACTACATATGTATATCCAGAGGTCAAATTTTGAAAGCAAGTATCAAGAGATATGCCATTCACTTTCTTTGGTGTGTTGGCACTACATCAATATAGGATATCTTTTGAACTGTCTGCGATTGATGAATGTATTATCAAATGTTTTTGAAAGGAATGGTATTTTATGACCTTTATCAATAGAACTTGCTATTAGTCACACACAATGTATTACATGTCAGCACAGGAAAGTATTATAGGCCACTCAAACATACACTAAAGCTATTGGTGATTTACCTGAACAGAAACTGTCGGTTGAGATTTGAAAGGTCTATGGTATCCATGTCGATCACAGTGATGTTCTGGAACCCCATCAAAGCCTGAAAAAATACAATGAAAATTACTAATCAATACCAACAACAGATTAAAGTAGATAACAACAACTGTATTAAATACAAGTTGTAATTAATTATAGCTGGGTAATCAATAAGTCTGGTCTCTGGGTACTAGGTTATTCTGTGGTTTCACTCTAAATGTAGGAAGACCTTGTTTCCAGATACCAATCTCACGTATATAAAATCTGTATAAAATGGGGGATCAGCTTTACACCAAACAATGGTCAGATGTAGCAACCAAAGCTAAAAACACTTTTTTCCAACTGTTCCTTAATGAACATTGGTGGGTTTTTGTATATTTTATTATTTTATTCATTTTATCATTAGTAATTAATTTCATTTTCTACTTTCCTTTTATTTGTCAAACTTTGGCTTAGAAATGTGAAACCTTGAAAATATTCCTCTATTCCTCATAAACAATCTTTAGTTGCATTTATTATTCTATAAAACAACAGATAGTTGCTTCAAGCTATCATATTTTATTCATTATGATCATTAGTATTTAATTTATTTATTTTTTTCTACTTTCCTTTTATTTGTCAAACTTTGGCTTAGAAATTGGAATCCTTGAAAATATTCCTTCATTTCTGATAAACAATCTTGAGTTGCATTTACTAATCTATGAAACAACAGATAATTGCATCAAATGATATGGTGGTGACTTCAACACCAGGCACTGATTATGTAACTACTGCACAATTGAATGTTTAAATGATGTAATGGTGGCCTCACCAGGTCCTTCAGGAGTTCACATCCCAGACCTCCAGCTCCTATCACCAGGATCTTACACACCTCCTGTAGAAATGGCAAAGCCTGTTTGGGGAGAAGACAAAATTATAAATTCACACAAGGGCATTAAAGTAAGGGGCACCATCAATTTTAGATACATATTTATATCATTGTTGCTATCATGAAATCTTTGGTTAAGTCTTTTTCTATAGTGTTTCATAAATATAATTTCTCACACTGCATTTTGCAATATTACAGTGGTTTTAAATTTGTGTATGGTACCTCAGAACTTGGTTCAAAATCTGGATGGGCAAATGGTCCACCTCTCTCCAGAAACTTCTGCACATGATTCCAGCGACCGGGCCAGTTAGAATCCATTATGAAGTTATCTGTAAATAAACGTAATAAATACTAACTATTGCAGCAAAAAAAAATCAAAAAAATCACATAAACAGTGTTGGAGGCCAAAATATCAAAGTCTCTGAATACAATTATCTTTCCAAACAAGTGGACAAAGACTAACGTAAACATTTCTGGCATTGAAGAACATAAAACATGAATAAATAATATTTAAGCATAAACAATGTTTGTTTGAGTGGTTTTAAGTCTGCTATACTGCCAAGTAGTTTAGTTATCCAGCAGACTAAAAAACTGATGAAAGAATAAGAGATATAATAGTCTGCTGGATGACCGAACTACTCGATAATGAAGCGGACATTTAACCACTCAAACAAACAAACAAACAAACTCACAAACAATGACATACAATTTCCAAAACAAAATGTCAATAGATTGATACCTTTTTAAGAAATTCAAAGCCAACCCCTCTCATTTTCTGACCCTTATACACAAGTAAATTTAAGCAAATCTACAACTTGTACATTGAAGGTTCATATAATATTGATAACATGACTACTAAGTACATAGAAAACTTCAAGTCTGCAGTGTGGCTCAGATACAGACTAATTATAAAGATAGAAGGATATAAAAGTGCATAATGTTGTAATCAGTTTTAACTTGTCAGGACATCCTAGTGACATGGAAGGAAACCCTTTTAGGACTCAAAACCTCAAAATTTCACAGGACAGGACTGTATTCCTGCATGATGTCATAAGTAATTCATTTTTCGAAGTACATCATGCCTGAAAGTTCACTCACACTGCCCTGTCACCTGTGTTTCCTCCAGAGCCTCTATCACTAATGAAAATCATGGTAAAGTGCATGGATGGGAATGCAGAGCTTCAAGAAACAGATTATCTGAAGCTGTATTTTATCAGAGGTTTGCCATAGCCAAGGACCAGTCATTGAACAACACCTTTTCTCTGTTATTGGTAAAGATAATCCGACTGAAATGCAATTTATATTTAGTGTTTGGCTATTTCAGATGACTTTAATGGATCTGGCTATCTTTTAAAGACTCTAGAGGACTTCAACTCACTAACATGACTGAATGTAACTGCATACATTTAGTTCGGATCTGGACACCCTCTGGGAGAACTTCCAGACGAGGTGGTAACCAGAAAGAGATGACAGCAGAGCTCTATTGCATCACTGTCAAGTTTAGATGATGAAAAGAGTAAAAGCACACTGTGTGTAGTGATTTAATGCTCTGTTAAAAATCACAACATGAACTTAATGGTACCCAAGAGCCCAAGATTACCTAAAGGTCATGTGTCTGAAATAAATAATATATTGTTATAATTTTAGTGAGTTAGTTACCTTAGCAGGTAGACAACCCGGTAGACAACACTAAAAGAAAAATATTTTCTGTCATGTTTACGCCTTGTGTGTACATCAGTAGGTATATACCCACAATTCCGTTCATGTCACAAATTGCAAATACAAAATTAACGAAAATGACATACCACTCAAGTAATTAAATCAAGTTAAAGCTTTGACTTTGCGGCTTCCGAAAAGCGAAACTACACTGTCTATAGCATGCTTTACTGCCATTACTTCTGTAACGAGCAGAATAAACGTTCACATCATACAGATTCAGAGTGCCGTTTAAGCTTTTAGAAAATTAATAACACATTTATACAGTTTTTCTTTGCCTTAAATTCTAAAGGATTATTATATTCATGTCTATGTTATTATAACCATGTTTCACAAGCATAAGGCAATTATATCTTTATCTCACAATGTATTTATTTTTTTATTGTTATTATTCTCAACATTGTAAGCGACGTTTGACAGCATGGCTGACGTACAAGTGGCACCGATCCGAACTTTAAATGACTTTATGATGGAGTCGGCTCGATTCCAGACGCCGAATATAAAAGACCCTGAAAAATGGGCAAATAGAGTATTGAACAATTTACTTTACTACCAGACAAATTATTTCTTGACAGCGATGATAGTCTTTTTATTGATCGGGTAAGTTTATATATTTGCAGCATTGACATTTTTTTGCAGGTGACGCGTTGCAGTAATCATACGGTCGGGTAGATCTACTTCTAACTCATTCCAGCGCGACATTAACACACCATTATTGCAACACTGATATAGATACATAATGATATTAAAATTCAACCTAACTGCACAGAGTTCTGGAAGTTATGGCTGATATGCATAGTCATTAGTCATAGATGATGTACAGGGTATCTGTGTATAGGAATGTCAACAATGCCTGTGCTATTATGTCTGGTGTCACAATTCAGTGTCTTCCAACTTATAGTGTTAAAGTTTGTTTCCAATACAGGAGCCAACAGAGCGCTTCTACATTGGACTCAAAAATTAAATAATTGTATAATATAAATTTAAAGTTCATTGTTAATTATGTTTGCCCTTTTGTTGGTGTAACATTGGTAGATTTATTTAAAACTAAGCAGCCCTCTAGAGTCTATGCAATTACGTAATTATTAAAAACCCAATGTCATGATTTCAACTTAACACATAGAATAGAAAAGAAACTCAACTGAGAATGATGCTGTAGCATCTGTCATCCTTCCAGCAGTAGTTCCTTCAAACAATAGACGCTGATGAATTCATTTAATTACTAATAGGTTTCACAGAATTTAACTGGAAACATCCTTATAATTAGGTAGTGAGGATTAAAAATTGTACAAATTGTAGGAGTAGTTTAATTGGATGCAACCTCAGGTAGTAAGGATTAAAAATTGTATTGTATAGATGAAGGAGCTGAACAACCAGGGGAACTGGCCATGGGGGCAGGGTCTAAATCGAGCATTTAATTTGCTATACATGGCTTCCCCTAAGAACTATACTTACTAGTACTGTGGATAGTTGAAGGCATCTCTAGGTGATGATGATTCTGAAATATAGAAATAAAGGCTATGAGACCTAAGGGGTTGAGGTGTAGGTCAAACATGGGTAAATATAGCCATATTGCAACAAGCGACTTCTTAACAAAGTGTTGAAATGGAGAAGCTGACCCTCCAGGTAGATGATGGACAGGTCAAAATTAGATCAGGAAAAGAATGAGATCTCCACCCATTAACAATATACCTGCTTGATTTGCATAAGACAACCACAATCATGCTACATATTGTACATGTACAAGGATTGCCCTTGGGATCTGCCCCCTACCATGGTCACTTGGTCACTGGGTACTGGTCACATCATGGAAACACTTGAGATCTCCACTCTATACCACATAAATGTGCATGTAGAGAAGANCCCCCCCCCCCCCCCCCCCCCCATGACTTACTTCCTTGTCATTACCTGGGTACTTAAAATAAAATAAAAACAAGACTGGGAATTGGGAATTAAGATACAAGCACAATGCTACCGGGACAGGCTCTGAGCTCAAGTCCCACCGCAGGGGACTAGATAGTATAATAATAATAATAATAATAAATTTTATTTAATGAGGATGACATGTTTAGCCAAAGGCTAATCTACCACATGGTCCTAGTATCTGGGTCATAACATGGAAATTATTGACTTTATCAATACTTGAATTCTATAATTCAACTCTTGAAGATGTAGAAATCATACTGTTTAAATATGCCTTGCAGTTATATTTTGACAGATAAAAAGTGTATATGTATAACTTAGTCAACATGAATACAACTACCCATCTTTTCCTGTCATAATTTACAGACTTGTATCTCATAAATCTGAATAAAATTCTAAGTTACAAAAAAAACATGAATACAGACACTCTATAAACGTTTTTATTTCAAATCAGGAATTTCTTTGAAAGTTAATCATGAACATTTACCTTCAACTGATGTACCAGTAATATGAGTTGTAAGCATGTTTTTACCATGAAATTTTTCACTTTACTGTGGGGGAAAAGCAAATTTTATTAATTATCTGTTCATTTGTAGGATTATTCACCCGGTGAAAATGGTGTGTGGATTTGCAGCCATAGCTGTTGCTTTTGGAGCCTTTGTTTACTGTACCAATAGCCAGTTCACAGCCCGTCGTTTCAAGCGGGACCACCCACTCATCAGCATTATTATTGTCTTGGCCACTGGCTATGTACTTGTCTACCTGATTGGTGCTGTCATTGTCTTCATGTTCGGCATAGCATTCCCTTTGCTGTGTAAGTATAACAAATACTAATGAGGTTTTGATACCTATACCAGATTGTTTAAAACAAAAAAATGACGATGAAGCTTTTAAACATATATACAAGATTGATTAAAACAAAAAATATGAGTGATCACTGAAATTGATGGGCAAATGTTGACTTTCATCTATTTTTCGGATGTAGCTTTCGGTATTATCTTTAATAAGATTTAACAGCTTGGAAATATTTATTGAAGTTTTACTTAAAGTAACACAATGTATGTATCAAACTTGTCGCAACGTTTCAAGACCGACTGGTCCCTTTGTCATAGCTTGACAAAAGGATCTGTCAGTCTTAAAAAATTGCAACATGTTTTATGCGTACATTATTTGTGTATAAAGTAAAACATAGCCTTTGATTAAAGTTGTTTTCAAAGCAAAGATCATAATTAAAAATAAAATATTTATGTACATTTGTTTAATAAATCGCATATGTTAATATACACTTTGTGCAATAAATATTATAATTTAGAAGTAAAAGATTTAACTGTAGATAGAGCAGATACAGCTACTTTAGTACAGCATATATTTTTGAATATTTTACTATGTTAGGTGTTTATTATGAATACTTTCCCTTTGTAGTAATTCTGCTACATGCGTCACTACGGATGAGGAATGTCAAGAATAAGATAACAAATAAAATGGAGTACATAGGTCTCAAAAGGACACCCATGGGGATCATCCTGGAGGGGCTTGGACAGGAACAGGAAGCTGGCTCCTAAACAGGAAGTGAAATCCCTCGAGTGAATCTTAACCTGTAGTTATGACCATTCAATATGGTCATTTTAACATTTTTCTTGTCAGTTTATTTTAACACTTAAACAGATTTAATCACTACTTGTATGTTTCTGCTTTAGTTTTCCTAGTTTACATTGGTAAGTAACATGAATATATAACAAGGTTAATATGACATCTACATCTGTAATCATTTTAGTAGTGGTGCAACTAGAAATGATAATGTCTAGAACTTAGAGATTCGTTTTAACGTCTGCAATCGTTGCGATATATCTAATAACATTTCATTTTCATGTTGTCATACTTTTCTTCGAAAATGTTAGATGATTTTTATCAATGTGACATGTTTTACATAGAAATGTTCATCCAGTACATATTTCGCTTCTTTGAGTGAATAGCTTTGCTATAATCTCTGATCGTTTTCTCCTCCGTGGTACACCCACCATTATCTCACGATTCTTTGTGATGGAAGATTTCCTTTCCTTAACAGTTAGAAGTGATCATGCTTTTGAAAGGTGGATGTTTGGAATTGGGATATTTAGTTCATATTTTAGTTGTTGCAATGTATAATTACTTTTGATTGTTATATTTAATTATTTTTATCAAACATGTTTTACTGAAAAATAATCATCCAGCGCAGTTTGTGATTTTTCTGTATTAAGTGAATTTTTCACATGGCCTGCTAAAACTTCTATCTCTGCTATGAATTTCCTCTTCTCTGAAGTATTTATAAGTCATTGTCTTTGTTAAGTAAAAAAAATTTTTTTGAAAAGGGCAGAATATTTTTCTCTCTTGGTGTAGCCCTACCAACCCCATACCTGAAGCACAGGATTGTTTTGGAACTGGCAGAAGTTGAAGGCATGACAAAGTTACCAATATTTTTTATCATTTATTGTGACCATAGCTTTGTAGAAGATATCTTCATGTGTATAAGATTTTGTAGACATTTTACAAATGCGGAATGTTTCTCATACAGAAACATAAACAGAACTTTTAATGTATTACATGTAGTATTGGGTAATGGGATTTCAAGATCAAGAGGTATTTGGGTTGGTTTAGTGGTAACAGTTTTGTTTGTCGTGTGCGTAACACTCAGCATGTCATGTCATGTTGAAATATTTTAAATATGATATACACATACTTTGCGTATTTTTTTCACCGCAATAGTGACTCACTGGTACTATGAAGAAATCGAATATGCGCTTTTCATGTATACACCATGACCATTTTAATTGATGTTGATTGAGTTTATGTTGAAGTTATGAAGATATATTATTATACCAGTATACTGAAGGAAAGAGGATGATGATATCCAGCTTATAACATGATCAAGATGATATGTTTTATAGTTAGAACAGGGTGGAAGTATTCATAGAGATGTTTGTGAAGACATGAGTTTGTGGAAAAATTGATCCAAAGATTGCAGTTTAGTGATTATTTATAGGTATTGAAACTTCCTTGACATTTTTATTTTATAAAATGTATGTTAATTATGAATCAGTGATTTGATTTATTATCATGGACACGTTTTCATAATTACACTGTAAATAAGTGACCATGTTGTAACTTAAACAGTTATTCTGGTCATAAATTACAAGGAACAAATCAAATGTAAATAAATCCCAATGAAATAAACAATTTTTACAGAGGTCATTGAATTTGTATTCCCATAGATGCTAGCGTTTTATGTCTAGTACATGTGACTTAAAGAATTTATAGTTTAATTTCATTTCATTATAAAAAAAATGTCAGTGCAATGCTTTGATTTCGCAATAGTACTTTGTTGTTGGAATCTCAGATTAAATGGATGCTAAAATCAGTGCAATTGATCAAAGTACCTTTATGTTTGAATAACAGATGAAAGTGGATGGTTCTATTTGTGTGTTTAGCATCAGTTCTCATAAAGATGTGTTACGTAAAAAACAAAAAAACATCATTTAGAAATATTTTTTAATAAATTAAAAAATTGACATGTTTTGAACTTCTGTAAACAGTACAAGGTTTGTTACATTTGTCTATTTTAATGCAGGTTGAATGTGTTCAAATACACAAGTAAAACTCTGCAAAGTTCCTTTGTCTAGTCAACAGTTCAAAATGCTTTATTGTTTTTGTTATTTTTTTCATGATGCCAAAATAGTACTTGTATACACTAGAAATTTATTTATGAAAAGCGTCTGTATCTCGGTCTGTACTCATGAAACCTTTTTCATTCCCAAGCATGGACTTTGTGCTCAAGCCTAATTTCCTGTTCTTGTTGTAACTTGATAAATAAAACTTATTTTGTCACTGATTTGGAAATATTTTAAAGAGACTTAAAGCCAAATACTGTTTTCAATGTTTACATAGGACTCTTTGATCATTTGACATGATCTAAGGGAGTTACAAGAAAGTTGGTTCGAGCACAGAATCCTTACTTGAGCATGAGAACAGTTTCATAAATACAGGCCCAGATTTTTGATTAAAGGTTGGAATGTATTTCTATTTCATTTGATGTTACTGTACAGAGTTCAACTTTTGCCTTTTTTTTAATTTTGTTTTTTGTTTTTTGTATTACAATATGTATGTAATAGGATGAGGAATAGTGATAAAGATAGTGCCGTCGAAGGGGCTCGATCCCGCAACCCTTGGCTCTCCAGCCCATTGCTCTAGCACTGAGCTAAAGGGAAATTTCCTACAGCTGAAGCTTGTTAGGCAACCTAATCAATGTACATCTTTTACATGTTTCTACTTTTTTCACAACTTTCCCTACGCAAATGCATAATATTTTCAGCTGGATTTTTTTTTTTTTTTTGGTTAGATTTTATTTTGTTTTATGGGAACTGCAAAAGTTAGATCAACAGGGAATACTTTAGCAGTGCATTTACTCCAGTATATGTAAATGTGTTGTGTACATCAGTATATTTGATAAAGGATTCGTTATTAATAAGATGTATGTTACAGACTGGGTAACCACTACATTTTATTTAATCATTATATATAACTGAAATGTGTACATAAATGGTGCTGGAAGATACTGGTTATTTTAGATAGCTTTAATGTATTATTTATCACGTATACTGAACGGCTGATAAGCCAAGGTGATGAAGTCCGTACAAACCAATCAAAATCACCGCTTGTGTCATGCAGTACATGGAAATTCCGGAGTTTGACTCTTGGGCTTGTATTCATGTTACCATTCTCATGCTCAAGCACAGATTCTGTGCTCATACTAACTTACTTGTAACTTGCTTTAATCATGTGACACTAAGGTTGATTTTTAACAATTAAAAAATGATATTCACCTGACCAAAGTTTCCAAAATAATGAACAAAATGTGATTTTCATTAAATATTCATAAAACAAGAAATTGTGCTTGAGCACAGAATCTAAGTTTGAGCATGAAAACCTTTTCTTGAATTTGGCTGTTTATGTTTGAGTATTTCTAGATATGTCTCCTCGTAACCCTACTCCTATGTAACTTGAGTGAACTCTACCATACATTAATTTGGAAGAGTCTATTGTGGTCTACAGTGGTGAAAGGGTTAAAGAAATCCAATTGATATGGGAGTGGACTGAATACCCGACTTATCAGTTGTAATTTATACAGTTTTATCATGTCACACTTGCAAGCTAAACTTTTGTAAAGTATTCATAATGCGTGTCTGTGTTCAGGATGTATACGAGGCAGAATGTCAGAGATAAGATTCATAGAAATAATTGGTGATGTTGTTCGCAGCGAAAGTTGAGAATTGTTTAATCTATTAGCTTAAGCTTTGATAATGCTAAGTCTGCCGGTGTCTTACAACTATATCATCATTATACCTGTACATTTAATGTTAATGATGTAAAAGCACATCAAACTCATGGTTTGAAAACTCCCATGTTTTCATGTAATTGTATAATGTATGACAAAAAAGTTTCTGTTCCTTTTGAAATGGTAGTGGATCCTCATATATTTGTCTTTTCATTCCTTGGTTTTCTTTTGCTCGGTTCTTAAAAGCCAGTAATATTTTCAGTCGTGTTGTAATATCCACGCTACATTTACCCAATTTGGATTTCTAAGCTTTATACCATAGTAAGCCTAAAGTACTGTCATGATTTCCAAACATTCTTAAGCTGAAAGTAAGTTCTTGCCAATGTTCTACCTATGCAGATTTCCAGAAGTAAGTTGATGGGAACAAAATAGTAGAGAAACCGGTCTTAATACTGTAGGGACCCAATTTAACTGTTTTAGAATGGTTTTGGAGTTACACAGGGTTCAATTGCAGTATTCGATCTTTCAACAACCCATCTCTTTATTTATTATCGCACCTTATGCTTTTACTGGTTCAAGTGGCCCAATCCTCATTTATAATTTCTGACAGGAAAACTCTCTATTAATGTTTATTTTTGAGAATTGTGGAAGGATCTGCAATCTTATTTTCCTTAATTGCTAAGCAATATTAGGTCAAATACAGTAACATTGAAATGTAAACAAAGACATCTAATTTGGTCCATACAGTTTCCTAATATTTCCAGGTTTGGTTTCCAAAATGTCTTTTGTTACTGTATTTGTAGTGAGGTGGGGAAATCCTTGGTTCGCATGATTGTTTAATTCTCATGATTCTTTGACTGTTTTGATTTTTTTTGCCATGTGACTCAGTATTATTATATTATTACCATATGTACATTATTTATGCATATTGTTCAAGAAAGAAAGTAACCATCTTATCATCTGGAGGCAGTCGTAACTTAAACCTTTCACCCCTATGTAACTTTAGTAGACTCTACCATGCATTGATTTGGATGCGTCCATTATGGTCTAAAATGGGGAAAGGGTTAAACCGTTGAAGTATGAGCATCTCTTTGTAATTATTTGTAACAGGAATTATATATCTTAAGTATATTAATTGCTCCACCGTGGAACAAATTTTGCTTTAATATTGCCTTTATAATTTGTCCAATTGATTTTCTTCGGTTTTCGATGTTAAATCTACCCACATATCTCTCTTGCTATCACGAAAACGCCTTGTCACGCAGTAGTGAAAGCACTCAATTTATTTTACAATCTTTGCCGAAATTTGAACCCAGATCTTTAGTGAACATGTACATAATTTAGAGGGCATTAAATGAGTCCAGCAATTTAACACTTAAGCAAGCTTTGAATAGTCCTATGACACATACTGAACTCACTGTCTAACAAAACTTGACATGTGCACAGATGTTTCATTTGTGAACGAATATGTATAAAGTGTGCAATCTCTAATAAATTATATAATACCACAATTGTAATTTTTGTTTGTTTTATACAAAGTTTAATAAACAGCAACAAATATGTCACCTCAATAGAAATCTTTCAGTTTTTATTGTGACCACAAATAGAAAAAATTGGGTCATATTGGAACTGTTATTATCCAAAGGCTGGTAAATATATCGTGACCTCCATACCATATTTGTTGTATTTGAATTTATTTGAAGAGAATATTTTGAGTGCATTATTTTAGGACTTCATAACATCAGGGCTGTTGTTGTTTAAATGGTTAAACCGGTCGGACCACAGTTGTTCGTTTGTTAAATAAGGTCGGACCAAGCAATCTGATGCTGCTTTCAGGCGAACCTTGACAAAGCCTTACATGGCCTGTATAAACATTTGCAGATCTGCCAGAATTTATACCCAAAAATGTTACATTCAAAAACGGACGTACTGGTTGTTCTGCATAAACAAACAGGCCCCAAACGACACTTATTTGATATGAAGGAAGGGACAAAACTCTTGAATAAGTGGTTAAATATGGCAGTTACACATTCACAGGTCCATATGATACGTTGAGACGTTCACAAAGTAGTAAAAATTCATCCTAGAGTGAAGTGTTAATGCGCTGGACAAGGCTTTCTTGAGCTAAATAAAGGGCCATAACTCTTTAAAAAGTGGTTGGAACAAGATGACCATTACACATGCACAGGTTCATATGATAGGAAAGATGTTCGCACTGGGAAAGACTTTCTTAGGCCAATTTAGTCAAGGGCCATAACTCTTTAAAATGTGGTCAAAACAAGATGACCATTTCACATGCACAGGTTCATATGATAGGAAAGATGTTCGCACTGGGCAAGACTTTCTTAGGCTAATTTAATCCAGGGCCATAACTCTTTAAAAAGTGGTTGCAACATTGTGTCCATAACACATGCACAGTTTCATATGATAGGAAAGATGTTCACACTGGGCAAGACTTTCTTAGGCTGAATAAATCAGGGACCAAAACTATTCAAAATGTGATGGAATCAAGATGACGGTTAAACATGCACAGGTTCATATCATAGGAAAGATGTTCACAAAGTTTGGTTAAAATTCGTCCTGTAGTGAAGAAGACGAGGACTGGACAAAACCTTATTAGACTAAATAAATCAAGGGACATAACTCTTCATATCAATTGAAACTGAATGGTGTTTACACCTACACCTATTTATGTGATTGGTAAGATATTTTCCTTTAAAACTGGACAAAGTTGTGCATACAGACAGATAATGCTATTCAAATACACCAATCTTAAAACTTTGTGGGGGTACAATAAAGTGTTCAATATCAAATTTAATGTGATAGTTAGGTATCAATGAACAACAAGCGTACCTGTAACTCATTTTATTACCAGCCTACCATAAGTTGGGTGTATCATTTTGTCTGGCCATTGATTTTTTTTGATTTTTTTTGTTGTATAACTTCTCATTTCATTTCTATTCTTATCTTCACCAAACTTTAAGAAAAATCTTAATTCAACAACCTAATAAGAGTTTTAGTACAATATTTATTCCGTACATCATTTTCTGTATAACAGTTACCAACATATATATTTGTTCTAATACAACGTTTATTCTGAAAAAGTCCTACAACAATTCTAGTACAATATTTGTTCTATAACAGTTCCCCACCATTTTTAGTTGGTCAAGGACAGGCCTGTCACACCTACCTTTTTCTTGCTTGGCTGCTGTGAGTGAACAGGCTGAGTATTGGAAAGAACTTTAAAGACACAATATGATCTCGGATAAAAGTCTTTCAAGCAGTTTGTTACCTGAAATTCTATGTTTCCTGACCAAATTTTAATAAGATTTAACTAAAATGTCTCACAACCAACATTCAATAATATATAGGTGTGACAGGCCCTGAACTCATTCACTCCTGAAATTTCATAATGAACTATTCCAACCTTGGAGTCGGAACTTGGAAGAGTTCAAATGTGTCTTCAGGGGTGAATGAGTTAATAGCTCTTGTATAACATTTATTCTGTAACAGTTCTGCAACCATCCAATTATAATATTTAGCCTATAACAACTTCAGTACAATATATACTGGCAGACATTGTATATGCATTTACAAAATTCAATTTAACATAAAACATTTGTCCGATTACATGATTTGAAATCTTTAAATTAAAATGTACATGAAGTTTTTTAAATTCTGTTACTGCAACATAGATTTTGTATCATTTTTATCTCTACAGGAATGTCAGAAATATCTATGGAAACATTTAGAGATTAGTATCTTCTGGGTTCATATCGGGTAGATTCATACACAATTGTATCACCATGTTACAGGATAACACAACTTTATATAAGTAATACACTTAAAACAACATCCAACAAAAGATACAATAACCTATCACTGTGCTCATATACAATCAATAGTGATACATTTTTTGTTGATTTTTTTTATCTGAACCATTTGAATATTTACTTTCTTCATCAGCAAAGGTTTTAGCAAAAAATAAAAAAATATCAAATAAATGTGTAAAACTGTCGCAAGAATGGCAGAAATATACCCCTCACCTGTACATGTGCCAAGAGCTGTAAAAATAGTTCTTTCGAGAACATTTTCAAATTAACAAAATTAAGGGCATAACTAAATATATGTTATTCACATCCATGCTATGGAGGAGTTACATGTACCAAGTATCATTTAAATCAGTGCAGTACTTTGAGGGATTAGTGTGAATGTTTTTAAACAATGGGGTTCTGTGTACATACCAATTGTCAATCAAATTGGTGCAGTACTTTGGGTGGATTGGTGCAAATAATGTTTTTAAACTGAGGGGAATAACTCACATAGAATAGCTGAATCAAAATATCAATGGCGGGTGCACAACTTCAGAGTGATTGGACTGCATCTGTAAATTTTCATTAATTGACTGAAAAATGTAGGAGTTGTGCAGACAGGAATGTTGTTAGCTAACTTTTGTAAGAAGGGGCATAACTCCAGAGGAGTTGTGGGAATGGACAAACATCCCTTTTGCAGTATACCCCCCAGCTCCCATGAAGACAATAAGAAGATCAATAATTCTCGGCGGCCCTTGGAGATGAAAACTTGATGAAATGCAGATACAAAAATACAAAAGATATGATTGGTTGTTAAACAGTTCTAGATCATTAGTAGCTCTAGAGAAAGATTAAACACAATAAGGAAGATACTTGTATAACCAAAGTAAGTTTAAATAATATATTAAGATCAAAATAATAAATTATACACTTCAGATTGGAAACATATTATAACAATGAAGTACTAAGTACCCAATTAGATGTAAAGATATTTTATCATACCCGTCAATGAAAGAATATTGAAATTCTTGTCACAGTGCGTGATGACATCGCAAAGAATGTAATTTGTAACAACAACAAAAAAGAGGCCCATGGGCCTTAACGGTCACCTGATTCCTACAGTATTTTTTTTTTTTGCTGAAAAATGTACCAATTTGAGTAAAAAATAGTTCAGTATAACGTGAACTTAAGTTTGTCAAGACCATGAGCTGATCATTCCTAGAACGAGTTTCAGTTAAATCGGCCCAGTAGAACTTGACTTTAAGTTTGAAATGTTTTTTCAAAATGGCGCCCGAGTTGGCCATATTGGATTTCTGATTGACCCGAAAAATAACAACACTTTGTCAGGACCATGAGTCGATCATTCCTACCAAGTTTCAGTTCAATCGGACCAGCAGAACTTGACTTTAAGTTTGAAATAGTTTTCAAAATGGTGGACGTGTCGGCCATATTGGATTTCTGATCGACCCGAAAAATAACAACACTTGGTCAGGGAGATGTCAGTAACCTTCCCATGAAATATTAATGAAATCCCTTAACCAGTATTTCAGCTTAAGTTGAAAATGTAAAATGTTAACGGACAACGCACAACGATGGACCAAGACGGATAGCAATAGGTCACTTGAGCTAAAGCTCAGGTGACCTAAAAATGAAAGAATCTAATTCTTTATAAAATCAATCATGTAGAACTTAAATAAATTAATTAAATATTTGTAAACAAAAGTCTTGCTAACTGTTTATATTGTAAAAGTTTATACAGCTCATCTTTTGATCAGTTAAATAAAATGAAATATACAAATAGATGTTTATTTGTGATTTGTTGATACAGAAAACAAATACATGTACAGTGTATGAGCAATCTTAAAATCTACATGCACATCTTGATATCTTGTTTATATCATTTCCTTTCACAAAGCTACATGTTCATCATTAAATGGTGCTTTCCTGTTACAAAGATACATATTATAGCACAGGAAGTGTCAAAATTAGCCTTTTTGCATAAATTAAATCATGCAAAATAATTTGGAATCAAAAATATTTTTGGACAATGGTAATTTGCTATTCAATTTTTGGGTGTTCAAAGTTATGTTTGCATAAGCAAAAAATAATGACTTTTCAGTTTTTTTTATATAACTGTATGCAAAAATATTAAATTGTGACACACTTACCACATCACAGATCTTGGACATTTTTTCCCCTTAACAATACAAAAAATACAATATCTGCAATATCTAGAAGTCAGCTCACAATGATGATAACAACGGAGGTATAATTACACATATGTACAATAAAAAACATACTATGGCACAGCAAGTGTGTTACAATTTATATTTCTTGTATATGCTGAAATGATATTTTATCCTTAGAAATCAAATGCTGATTATGCAAAAAAATATTTGCAATGGTCCAAGATTTTTTTGGTAAACCGCATATTATTTTTGAATCCAAAATTCAATTTTTGGACATTAACTATCATTTTTGCATTTGCAAAAAAATATTCAATACACTTGCCATACCATATCTTATATGAAGATTCAACCAGGTTTTTATCACGGATCATTTCCAACTCATTGCTACAAGCAATGCTTAAGACTACAACTGCAGCTGAAAAACATTTATACAGACAAAGATATTCTTTCCAACCTCTCAATTCTTTAAGGGTGAAAAACTTTATGTCCAAAAGTTTTAAAATGCAATATTATAAGCTCTTCTAATACAATAAATCAAATAAATCATCTAATGCAGGGATTCTGCTAAATTCAGAAGTTGTGTTTTTAAACTCCCTCAGAAAATGGAGTCTCAAGTTCCTTAAAAAAAAATTTGTTAAGCTCCCTCAAAACAAGGAGTGTCATGATCCTTAAAACAAGGAGTGACTCAAGCTATCTAAATTGGGGAGTCTCAAGCTCACTCAGAAAAGGGGAGTCTCAAGTGCCCTCAATTAAAGGAAGTTTCTAGCTCCTTCAAAAAATAAGAAATTTCAAGTTCCCTCAAAAACAAGGAGTGCTAAGCTTCCTATAACCAAGGAGTCTAAAGTTAAAAAAAAAAACCAGGGTGTCCCTAGCTCCCACAAAAGAGGGAGTCTCAAGCTTCCTCAAAACAGGGTGCCTTGACCTCAAGCTCCACTAACTTGACTGTGGGCTGTTCTGTGCTTCAAAGGATCTTAATCATTGCACCCAGTCCGGATCAATAAATTTCAAATGTACAGCAAAAAAAATGCATCAAAAAGAAAAACAAATAATGCAGACATTGAACATGTAAACTTTTTCAATGATAATCTATCAGTCTGTCATGACAAACAAATGAAAGGTCACAAAGGAATGTCACATTGATTAAAGACAATAATGTAAATAGTTTCAACCCTTAAATATAATGGACTTGGTCTGAGCTATACACACTGGGTAAACTCAATTGCTGTAACCGAGGGGAAACAGCTTTTGTTACACATACACAAACCTGGTAGCATTCTGAACTTCAAAGAGGTGTTGTAATACTACTAACATTTTAATTTTATATAAAACTCGAATTTCAAACTGAATCTGGTGCGACGTGGTATTGCCAATCAAAGTGAAATGAACAAAGGGTCAAACTACCACAAGGAAATATGAACTACGGATCAGTTCACCATTATGATTAACGAAGCCTCAAGAAACTTGTTCCTACTCAAATATTTTGTAAAGTTGTTTATGAAGTTACTTCAATTTGTTTTTTCAAAAAAAGCATGCCTAGGGGTTAAGAAAATAAGAGTGGGGCGGGTCACTTTACCATAATGGTGAAATGAATTCTTAAACCATTTTTTTTTAAAACTTTTTTTTATTGCCAGTTACGTTTTTAGCTTGCCTTTAACCATATATTTTTGTTCCAATTCCTCATTAGTTTATTTTAATTTTTGTGGTTTTATTTATAAAAATAACATAAATTATGTCTTGGGTAGAGAAATTTAGGGTGGAGCGGGGGTGAGAGAGGGTTCACTTTATCATAATGGTGAAAGCCTAGAACCATATTCATGTGACAAAGCATCCAAAGGTTCACCCAATGTAATAGAAATGTCCAACTGAACTGGAAGAACCAGTGAGCATTTTCACAAAAATCTTACGACAAATTTTACTCGTAAGAGAAAACTTATGATTTTGTTCCATTTCACAAAAATTCTAAAAGAATCTTAAGTGAAAAATTTATGGTAACTTTATGATAGCTTGACCCCTCTCTAAAGTGTTAAATTTGATCATAAGTGTAAAGTCACATATTTCCCTAAGGCACCACACAGTGTCTTGTTGTTTAGAGGTATAAAATTAAAAGCTGGCTGTCAGTGCACCGGTCAAATTTGTAAATAGAAACGAATCTCTTTTGTTGATGGCTGAACGCAAATCCTGGTAGCAAATACAACCATCTGTATGTATTTGTTCCAATATTACCTTGATCTTCAGTCACATATTCCCCTAAGGCACCACACAGTGTCTTGTTGAATATGTCTGTAAAACTGTTGGTTTAAGGATGACAGGTTGCTATAATTTTGTGCTAAATGTCCAAATGCTGGCAAAGTTCATCATTAACAATGTTGCAAAATTTCCTACCTCGGTCTATCAGGAAAAATTGTTTTGGATTACTTTAACCTGTCGCCATTTTTAAAAAGTCATCTGTACGGAGAGGTATACATTTGATGCCATTCTCTGTCTCACACAATGGTCCGACTTTGTCTATGCGAACCATGGCAAATGCCTCATCTTTCATCTGAATTGGATGGAGTAGCGGAGATATTTTCAAGATGTTCTTTCACTGACATTTATAACAACATAATTTTTGTTTTTTTCATAATATTGGACAAAAATGAATGTATACTTAAAAAAGAATTGGCAAACAAAACACTCATTTTCTGGAGACTGCCCCTTCGATCTTTAAATAGTGTGCAAACCTGTAAAAAGTTTAAGCACAGAACTTGAGATATGACTTTTCAGATGTTATGTGTTTCACCAAGTTCAAAAATGATCATGGAAAAGCAATGCCTGTTATATCATTGTTCCTATTGTAAGCACATTGAAAAACTGTGCATGTAATTTAACAAGCACTATGATTCAGATCTATTAAAGTAGACACATAATTAGCATGCTCTATGAAGTCCACGACACAGATGCTGATTCCATGGCTACCAGTCTTCTTATCTTTAAGCCAGCTGACAAAAAATGGCGCTAATTTTATTGAGAGTGTGTCTTTTAGGCTACTACCAAAGTTGGAGACAATAGTAGCCATCCCTGGAGTTAGGACCCCTTGCCAATTGTAAAAGACATTGTCTGTTCTCCCCGTCTTGTACTTAGCATCCAAGAAAGACATCATATCTGGAATGTTCGCTGTGTTTGCCCAGGGTGCTCGGATTGCTGTTTGAGGCCAGAAGGTCAGGTGCTCCTTCACGATGTCATTTTGATAGATAATCAAGACTTGAAGGTTGTGTTCCCACATCATCTCAATCGTAACGCTTTCCATATCTATATATGGGCACATCTTGCTACCAAATTTGTCTGTCAACATAGTCAGAAGATTAACATGGTCTGTATTGGACATAGAATAGAAATGAGAAAAATTCAAAATAATCACTTCTTTTGGGTGCTTATCTAAGAAGGCATTGACTTCATCTAAACAAGTTGATACTTTAGCTCCAACCAGTCCATGCAGGAAATGGAAATCTTGTGTTTTTGAAAACCAGCATACACGGCAGTCGAGGTAGCGAATTCCCTGCTCCAGCTGTTGTAATACAGGGAGATTCTGTGTAGTGGCCCAGCGGTACAGTATGTCTTTGCCTGCAGTTCCAAACAAGCGGGTTAGATCCTGTATCCATTGTGGTTGATCTGGACCCACGTCTCCTGATGGGGAAATGGAGTAGCTAAAGGTGTTGTGGGATCCTAGAGAAAGGGGGGAAAAAAGAGTTAAAACTATTCATGTTTACTTAATATAGAAACAAATTAACCAGAGGTTAACATAGATATACCAGGTGTTACTTAATATTTGTCCCAGATATCACCAGATAATATCCCAAAAGTTACAGAAGATTATCTCGGGTATTAAAATGTGATGTGCACAGATGTCTCTTACAGATACTCAAAAGGTTTTCCAAATGAGGTTATATCTTTCCCTTGGTGTTACAAGTGATTTTTGTTCCAAATGTTCCTAGATATTATGATAAAACCAGTTTGTTTTCTTTCAAATACTCTCAGTACATTTATGTGATGCTTTTTGGTTTAGCTGAAGCATTGTGATGACAAAATCACTAGAAATTCTTCCAGGATTCCTCCTCATGTTCATATAGGTGTCATGGCCAACACACCTGACCATCAGGGTAATCCACATACCATTAGTCTGCAGAGCTTGAAATTGTGTACTTATTTGTTCTGAAGTAAGGATCCAAGAAAATTCTTTGACAAAGAACACTCAAAATAAACCTTTCCTTCCCCAGAACAAACGATGTATCAAGTTTGGGCTTGGTGCAGTTATTCATTCTCAAACTAGCATCCAGACCACAGATGCTCAATGTCCAGTTACAGAACATGTTCTTTTACAAAAAAAATAACCTAGGCCTTGTTAAAAATCATAATATGCCCAGGGTTTTTTTGAAGAACATGTTCTATAGCCTAATATCGTGCACCAGTGATTCCTGGACAGGTCATTTGTTCTGTAAAATTCTATTTTTAGTACAGGTCATTTGTTCTGTAAAATTCTATTTTTAGTAACTGTGACCTTACCTTCTGACCAGTGTGTAAAGTATCTTCACTTTTAAAAGACATGCAAGCTATAACAATCAAGTGTTCCCCAGTGTGTAACATCTCTATGCAGGCTACCGTATAGACTCTATACATTGTTAAGTTAATGGTGAAGTAGTTCCACCAATGATCATATAAATAGGTATATCTGTGGTATTGAACAAAGTATGTTTGCTGTATCATACAAATCCTATCAATCAATCTATTGTGGTTACAAAAGACTCTACTGAAATGGATAGAATATTTTGGAGAGCTTTCTAACTTTGATGGAAAGAATAGACATAGCAGTGGTCAAATTTCAGCCTAGACTACCATATAAAATGCCTCAAATATACAAAAATTTTCACTGTATCTAATTCATAGACAATATTCAGTGATTTAAATTATCTCGACCAAACATGAAGTACCCAAGAAACTCAAACATAGAGAATTTTAAATACCTAGTCCGCTGTCATATATCAGCAGATGGTACATCTGCTCTGTCAAATATATGTACAATAGAGAGTTCAAACTCAATACCAAATGAAGAAATAGACATATTTGTATTTCAGTTAAGGCATCATATTTCTTAGGTTAATGCATATTCTCTAGTTTGGACCTCCTGGTTAGTCAGTCTGATGTCTAAACATTCATAATTTGTATGAGAAATGAGATAAATATCCTCAAAAAGATGAACTCAAAATGTATCTGTAAGCTTCAGTGCTTAGTCCATACCTGAACAACTCAATGATTTGATGAAGGTCACAGAGGTCAAGGTCACAAACAATGCTGTGAAATATGCTGTTCACATCAAGATACATATGCATGTGAAGTTACATGTGCTTCACTAAGTACTTAGCACATAACTAACCTAAATGAAACAAGAGGCCCATGGGCCTTAACGGTCACCTGAGTCCTACAGTATTTATTTTTGTTGTTGAAATATGTACTAATTTGAGTAAAAAATAGTTAAGCATAATGTTAACTTAACTTTGTCAGGACCATGAGCTGATCATTCCTAGACCGATTTTCAGTGAGATCGGCCTATTAGAACTTGTTTTAAAGTTTGAAATAGGTATTTATAAAATTGCGGCCATGGCAGCCAAATTGGATTTCTGATTGACCCGAAAAATAACAACACTTTGTCAGGACCATGAGTCGATCATTCCTACCAACTTTCAGTTCAATCACCCCAGCAGAACTTTACTTTAAACTTTGAAATAGGTATTTGCAAAATAGCGGCCGTGGTGGCCATTTTGGATTTCTGTTCGACCCGAAAAATAACAACACTTTGTCTGGACCATGAGCTGATCATTCCTACCAACTTTCAGTTCAATCTACCTAGCAGAACTTCACTTTAAGTTTGAAATAGTTTTTCAAAATGGCGGCCGTGGCGGCCATATTGGATTTCTGATTGACCTGAAAAATAACAACACTTTGTCAGGACCATGAGTAGATCATTCCTACCAACTTTCAGTTCAATCGGACCAGCAGAACTTGACTTTAAGTTTGAAATAGTTTTTCAAAATGGCGGCC